AGAACTCCATAAATCGAGGAATGTCTGCCCAGTTGATGGCTACTGTTTGTGCTATCATCACGACATTCAAAACCATATTACATTTACACAATATTCAGTTAAACTCTTCTTTTAACAATGGATTTTTCTCCCACCAAGCAGGATTCCATCAACCCCTCCAGTGTTTGCTGTGGTCCTTGATCTTCAACCCCGAGAAGGCAATGGGCTGGTCCGCACACTTGTCCACTACATACTGAGTAAACCTCTTCAGGAACTTTGGATACTCACGTTTGTACACTGCTCGCAGAACTGAAGCTGGAGCCCATCCTCCAGGATTAACTGCAAAAGGGGAGATTCTGATAGGAAATTTTGGATACTTGAGTAAACATATGAAAAATAATCAAGCATTGAGTTAACAGCCATTTTTAGTCCTGCTATTACACAAATGTTAATATTACTTGTTAGCAGTCACTTATGGTTCTGCTATCACACAAATATCACTAATTACTAATATTAAGACAACTGATATTACTCAATATGGATAGTAAATCAAATCAAGCTCAAAAATCTTCACTTAATGATATTTTTAGTTCTGCACAAGATCTGTCTCTTTATTAAGTAAGTAAGTGGGCTAGTACGTATTTGATCTAAAAACTTTACTTCCTGTTTGACTATGAAATGATACAATTATAAGATCACTTTTTCTCAAGCTTATCTTTGCTTTGAAAATCCCAATTTAGGCCCTACCTTGAACTTAGTTTGTAAAATCAGAGAACATGAAGGTATGCACCAGAAAAAGTGAATAATAAAAAAATCTGAAGATTTTTGCATAAAATAAAAGAACATTTACAAATTCTATTAGTTCTCTGTTAAGAATATACATAGTATATCATTTATATGATACATACCTACTGAGCAGTAAGTTATTTTAACCAACAGATTGTCTCGTGTTATAGGTTGTCCCTCAGCTGGCGGAGGGTCAATAAATGTTTGGCACACAAAACATACTGTCAAATCTATTCGGACATATTTCCCATCATTCTGAAATTAAGAAATTATAAAATACTTCCAATTTTTTGCATATATCAAGCAGTTGTAACCACTCATTACAATGACTCAAACTTACTAAGGCATATATAGAATAAATTTAAGAAAATAACCCTTATTATACTAACTGGAGCATCAGGATGTTCAGCAGACTGATTGCAGACTATCCAGGTGTCATGGGCTTTACCATTGGCTGGGTCAGAGGATGGTATCTCCCGTATGTGCGACCAGAACAGGGCATCACGTTGAGCAGTCGGCCAGACTCTCTTGTGAAGCTGCAGGAATATGAGTGTGTCCGCAGATATCCTGTCTAAGACTGTCATCTGCTCTATGCTTGCTGAAAAGTTTTATGGGAGGTTATAGTTGGGTTTCATGAATTCTGAACAATTAATTCAATTACTTTTCTTGTACAAATTTCCCTAAGAGATATATCATATTTTCTAGTTTGCTGCATGGACCTGCCACTACATTCAGTGGTGTCTGCTGCAACTGCTGATTCTAAGCATTTTTACACACTGATACGGCATTTCTACTTGTCTTTTGTGCATTTGTATTATAACCTGTATAAATTTAGCCCCATTCATGACTCCTGTGAATAAATGAATGAGTGTTGATGAAGATGCACCTACAGATCATCATTATACTCACTCTGATACTGTACTGAGTAATGACTGGTGGAGTAGTATTGAAAATGAGGAACATGCAGCTGGAAGTCTCTATTGAAAGTATTGACTGCAATGAAATTGCAGAAATGCCAGGTAGAGTTGAAGTGCATGTGGGAGAGCCCGGAGAAACCAAGGAGGAATATGACAGCAGTGAGAGATAAATAAATTTGAAAAATAAAAAATAGTTATTCATAGGAACCAACACTGCATCTTTCCATATATATACTATTTTGGTATACCTTCACTGTTCAAGAGCAAGAATGAAGAACACCTGACATTCCCTGAAAACTCATTATTACCTCTGATATTCAATTCTATTAATTTTTTTTTGGAGTAGTTATTTGATATAAAAACATTTTAAAAATTCCCCATATGCCATGAAATGTTGCTCTTTGAAGGATATTTGAAAGCTCCAAAACATGAGTAGTTACTCAATTTTCTTTTTTCACAGACATACGCTTTTTCATATTATGAAAAATCTTGGTTGAAATAATCCTTTCCCATAGATCAAGGAAAATACACCAAGTAAAACCAATCATTATTGAAGTTTACATTCAGTTTTAACATCTGGTCCAAGGGCATTTGATCAAGTATAGTTTCTCCAAAACTAGCATTCTAGTTTCCCACATATTTTTTGCTATCACTAGGAGCTTGGCAGTGTGAAGATATAATTCAAGTACTGTTTGGCACATTTCTTCTAGATACATCTCATATCCACTGCCATTTCCCCATCTCTTTGTGTCTCTTTGTCTCCCTAAACCAAACATATAACCACACCCTGATCCTGTTCTCGCCTCTTTTCTACTTTTGAATGAATATAGTGTATAAAAAATATGGATTCTTATTTTGGGTGACAAGTACCCCCCCCCCCCCCACACACATAAAACAAGTCAATCTACCATAATGCAAAGGAAACTTACTATCCCACTCAAATCTAACATCTGGTGACCAGAAGTGATGGACCATTTCATGGGCAGTAGCACCTCTGACTTGGTGAACTGCCTTCAGAGGATCAACCACCAAGCCATCTTCCTCAAGCTCTCTGCGGTACATTTTCATTTCACCTTCTTCAGCAAATAATTGCCAAACACCCCCTTCCACATCTTGTTGTGCATAGCCAAGTTGCTCTATCGTCAGCTTTTCAATCTGATAAAACAAGAAAGAACTTAAAATTTTACTATCTGAACTTCAGAAAATAAAATCCACCTCAAGCTATTCAGTAAAAAAAAGAATCAGGCATTAACAGTAATACACAAAGAAAAAAGACCTACCTGTGGCCAGAGAGGATGTGTAGTTGCAGATTTCTGAGGCGCTGCTAGTTGCTTCTGACGCAGACGTTCACGGAATTCCTCCTCCTCATCCATTTTGTCCAGCGCTGACTCAACTGCATCAAAGAATTCATCCTCTCCTATGACGCTATGAGGTCCTTCCTGTTGATATTTGTAACGAAATGGGGAAAATGTATGAGACATGGATAGAAAATACACATTTATACACTGAAAATTATCAGCCATAGTTAACAATAAAAGCAGTCAATCTGCAAATAATTTCATTAAAATATGTATGAAGGTTATCAATGGCTTTGTGAAAAAAAGTACAGTAAGTCCCCAACTTAAGAACATAATGGGGACCGAGAGGCTGTTTGTTAGTTGATTTGTTTGTATGTCGAAAGTCAGGTGTCCATTACCTTTTTTCCCATTGTTTTAAAGTTTTGTTTACATTAAGAATACTTGTAAATAAATCCCAATAAGTACGACATACCTTATACAGTACCAGACTTTTGAACTATATTCATGCCCGGGAAATTTGAAGTTTGCTAGCATCTTTCAAACAAATTTTTGGACTTTAGTACTTTAAAAATTTTGTATGTATGAAATGTTCATAAGTAGAATGTTCTTAAGTAGGGGACTATCTATATATCATTTATCACAGCTTGATTAATTACTTCCCTAATACTAGTATATAATCAACTCAAATTAGCATAGCAGTAATATAAACAATTTAACTTATCACTGACCAATGTATGAAGTTAATTACACAAACAAATACCTATTAGACCCTTTCTGAAAAGTGTCCAGGGCAATACTGTGCTCATAAACAAATCCTACAAGTAAAAGATGAAGGAAGAACACCAAACCTATTCCCTATAGAGAAGCATTCTGAAGTCTCCTTTCATCATCACCATTTTCACTCACCTCATAGTCTGGTCCACCCATAACTACCACTCTTCTGCTAGGCTGTGTCTCCTGTGTGCTGTGCGCAAGAGCATGTTTTAATTTCTCCTCAAGTCGCTTTCTTTTCTCCGCTTCACGTTCAAGTCGCCTCTTAAAGGATTCTTCTCTTTGGTTCATGACCTCCACACAATGACTTAATGTGGTTAGGATCCCTGCAGTTGTTGCCTGTACAATAAGAGACAAAAAGTCGCATGATTTTTCTATGGTCTTCAAAAAAGTTCTAACAATTTCTGGTTTCTATATTGACCAATTTGTACTAAAAGTGTAAGTTTTTTGAGAAATGCATGAAGCTTAATTAAGGTTATCTTAGAGTAAAAGCTATACAAATGTCTAGGTAAATTACACAAGGGATGATGAATTGATAATGAATATATGGCAGTAGCAAGAAATCTTGAGAAGGAGAAGCCAAAGTATAAACTACATGATTAATGGCAAATTAAATACAAACACATGGCAGGCCCTTTATTTGTGCAAATAGTTTATAAAAAAAAGGCCATTTGCATGTAAATGACAAATGACACACAACTAGGCAAAATATTACTCCAGTTCAATATGTTAAAGACAATCAATAAACCCACTGCCACCAGGAGCATGTGATGTCCACTGCTTTGTTTTGTGCATTATCTTTGCATATAAATAGTTCCACTAACACTCAGCCACCATGGAGTCAATCAGTATACCTATATGACCTGATTTCCCCTTTTTTTGAGTTTTTGGGAAATAATATATCTGAAATCAAGAAAAAAGGGAAAGACAGGTTGGCAATTGTGGAACAATATATGTATAAACACAATAATAAACAAAAATCACTGTTGACACTGCATGTGCATACATGCCCTCACTGGTGGCAATGGGTTAATAATGTTTAAAACTTCAGTTGTTTAAAAACAACTGAAGAGAAGGTCCCTTTACCATAATATTTTTGCTGTCCACAGAAAAAAGCTAAAGGTAAAGGGATTAAAAATGAGCAAACAAACAAATAAATCAATGTCAACAGGTTCCACCTTAAAAACTCTACCTTAAATGTAAGTGCTTCTCCACGGAAATCCAGAGCATAGGAACCATGCTTCTCTAA